TGTTACAGCAGCACTAGATAACTAAGACATCTTAGCCTGGCCAGGAACCTGCCTGACACCTCCAGTGAAGCCAGGTTCCTGAGGTTCAGCATGCTGGTGTTCTGCAAGAGTCTGGGTCACCTTCCTCCCTGTCTACCAGAGTACCAAGGGGAGAGCCATGGTGGCCATGGAGATCTTCGCCATCTTGACCTCCAGTGCAGGGCTACTAGGCTGCATCTTTGCCCCAAAGTGCTACATTTTTCTGATAAAGCCTGATAACAACTCTTTGAAGAACTTAGGGATAAAATTGATTCCAGGGGAAATAGGTGTTCTATGGATTTCTCTCACAAGTCTCTATCACATTTTTAGACTTTTGAACAATAGACCACCCTGTTTTTTGCAATCACATATCATGAAATAACTGAAATTGCTTTACTTCTTTATTTTTCAACAAGTCCTCTCTCTCTCTCTTAACATCCTGTGTACAACTACCCTAACCAGCCTTCATGACTCATGAACAAATGTTATCTCATATTAACATGCTATCATCAAAAATGTTGTTTTGAATTGATTTCTACATTTTCTTTTACTGAGTGTATTGACTATACAAAGGCATTCAACTTTGTGGATCATAACAAATTATGGATAACACTGAGAAACATGGGAAATTCCAGAACACTTAATTGTGTTCTTGAGAAACTTGTACGTAGATCAAGAGGTAGTTGTTCAAACAAAACAAGGGGATACTGTATGGTTAAAAGTCAGGAAAGATGTGCGTCAGAGTTATATCCTTTCACCATACTTATTCAATCTGTATGCTGAGCAAATAATCCGAGAAGCTGGACTATATGAAGAAAAACAGGGCATTAGGATTGGAGGAAGACTGGAAAACTCATTAACAATCTGCGTTATGTAGATGACACAACCTTGCTTGCTGAAAGTGGAGAGGACTTGAAGCACTTACTGATGAAGATTAAAGACTACAGCCTTCAGCATGGATTACACCTCAACATAAAGAAAACAAAAATCCTCACAACTGGACCAATAAGCAACATCATGGCAAATGGAGAAAAGATCGAAGTTGTCAAGGATTTCATTTTACTTGGATCTACAATCATCACCCATGGAAGCAGCAGTCAAGAAATCAAAAGACACATTGCACTGGGCAAATCTGCTGCAAAGACTTCTTTCAAGTGTTAAAAAGCAAAGATGTCACCTTGAAGACTAAGGTGGGCCTGACCCAAGCCGTGGTATTTTCAATTGCCTCATATGCATGCAAAATCTGGACGATGAATAAGGAAGACCAGAGAAGGATTGATGTCTTTGAATTATGGTGTTGGCGGAGAATATTGAATATACCTTGGACTGCCAAAAGAATGAACAAATCTGTCTTGGAAGAAGTACAACCAGAATTCTCCTTAAAAGCAAGGATGATGAGACTTCGACTCACATACTTTGGACATGTTATCAGGAGGGACCAGTTCCCTGAAGAAGGACATCATGCTTGGTAAAGTAGAGGGTCATCAAAAAAGAGGAAGACCCTCAACAAGATGAACTGACACAGTGACTGCAATAATGGGCTCGAGTATAACAACGATTGTGAGGATGGTGCAGGACCAGGCAGTGTTTCATTTTGTTGTACATAGGGTCACTATGAGTCAGAGCCAGCTTGACGGCACCTAACAACAACTGAGAGACACTGTAAACATTTATATTTCAGTGAAATATCTAATTTATATATATGCTTAGTTTTCTGTTTTCTTCTTATTTTTTAGAGTTTTCCATTTTAATTTTAGCCTTATAATATATTCAGAATTTTTTCAGAAGGCAAGATATAATTCTTTCCTATTGCTGTCAAGTTGATTCCAACTTATGGAGACCCCATATATTATAGACTATAACAGCTCCATAGGGAGTTCTTGGCTGCAATCTTACAGAGGCAGATCACCAGGCCTTTTTTCCACTGTGCCAAAATTTATGTTAGTGATCAAGCACAAACCATTTTTACCACCCAGGGACCTCAACATTTAATTGGTCGACTTAAATTTTTTACAAAAATATAATCTATTCTCCACAAATATCTTACTAAATCATCATTGTGCAAATGTTTTTAAATGCTGTCTTCATCCCATACTTAGTGTTCACGTACATATACATGGAAATGTCTCTGACCTCTGTGTTCCCTTCCATCAGTCTATTGTTTTTTGGTTTTGTTTTTGCTATTATTTTTTGTCCAAATATCATGCTTGAGAGAATTCTTTATTGAGGTAAAATCCGCATAACATAAAATTAACCATATTAAATTGAATAGCTCAGTGACATTTAGTCCATTCACAACGTTCTGCAACCACCACCTCTGTCTAGTTCTAAACTGTTATCATCAACCCAAAATAATACCCCTTACCCAACAGGCAGTTTCCCCCTCCCATTCCTCCCTTCATCCAGCTACTGGAAACCACCAATCTGCACATTTTTCCACAAAAAATGTAATTCAGAACCACCAAAAAACTTTTTCAGTTGCTTGCAGTGAGACAAAGATGAAAAATGAGCTCTTGCAGGGCCGTAGCTCTCAGCAATAATTAACATTACCCAGTGGCATTTTCACAAGCTTTATTACTTACACAGTAATTGGAACAAAGAGGAACTGAGTAAGAATCATCATGGGGTCAGTCTCCCTCGCACTGTCATCCCAGGGCGTTGAAAAGGAAACCTCCTCTATGCACACCCCACGATGTATTCTAGGTGAAAGATGAAGAGATAAAGGGACTTGGGGCTTATATACCTTAAACTGGAGGGATATATGTGCTGAAGTGCATGGGAAAAGAAGAAGGTGCCTTTGTTCAGGTGTAGACGGCCTGGCCATCTTGGTACCAGGAAGGTGTCTTTGCTCAGGTGCAAACTGCTTAGCCTATCCTGTGACCGAGATGCGCGTAACCAGAAAAAACATTCCTTCCCCTCTAGCTACAAGATTGTGTAAGCCTGCATTTTCTGATTAATGATACAAAGGGTTAAGATTCACCGGGAGAAACTCCCTCCCCTGGGGTGCATACTTAGTACAATTAAGTAGTCACAGAGATAGTGGGAAGCAAAACTCACACTGGGGAAGCAGCTGCTCCCTCTGCATTGCTCTTGATAAAAATGGCCAGAACATAATTGATAGTGAACATCTTAATAAACCCCAAATTTTAACAAATATTTTACAAATACTATTAAGTTTGACCTCCATCATCATTCAAAGCAGTAACTCTTATCTTCAAGAATTTGGTAGCCTGTAAGATATTTCCTGGTCCAACCCCCCGACACACACAAACATGTTAATCCATTGCAGTTATCAGACCTAAGCTCAGCAGTCAATATAGCACAGTGGTTTGGGGAATATCTTTGGTATCAGAGGATCTTGGGATCAAGTACCACTCTGCTACTTCATGTGGACATTGGTGTTACTCTCCCTTTTTGAATCTCATTTTTGTTTACACATAAAACATTATGGTCCCTATATCACAAAACCTTCATGAGAACGAAGTGACATATACTCAGCAGATTAAGTGGGCAACAAATGTGAGTTGTTACCAGTATAATTATCAATTCAATAACAGGGAAATCTCATCTCTACAGCGTAGGTCCTCTCATTTGTGGAAAAAGTAGTGAAAGAATATATTTAAAGTGATTAGGAATGTTACCTTTTCTTTCCACAAGTCTGCGGGAGAAATGTGAACCCAAGTAGACATGGATCTGGGAGGAGCTGGACAGACATGTAGCCTTGGACCTAAGACCTTAGCAGCTGTACCACAAATGGGTGCTTTGGGGAGATGGGTTTGATGGAGGGCCACTGGTACCATCCCAGGAGCCCCCTGTGTGGTCATCACTTCAGCCTAAGTCCAGCTCTGTTAAGCACTTTGACTAAAGCCATCCTCACCTCCCGGTTCCTCAGGCTGTAGATGAGGGGATTGCGTATGGGAGTGACGAGGCTGTAGAAGAGAGAGACCACATTGTCCTTGTGTGGGCTGTGGTAGGCACCAGGCACCATATACATAAACACAGCTGCGCCATAAAAAAGTCCCGCCACGGTGATGTGTGAGGAGCAGGTGGTGATGGCCTTATGTTGGGCCTCATCTGAGTGCATGCGTAGAACAGCCCCCAGTACATGGCCGTAGGAGGCGCCGAAGAGGGACAGGGGAAGCACAAGGATCAGCACCCCAGAGATGGACAGCGCCAACTCGTAGGCCGACGTGTCTGTGCAGGAGAGCTTCAGCAGGGTGGGTACCTCGCAGAAGAAGTGGTCCACAATGCGGGAGGCACAGTAGGGGAAGTGCAGGGTGATGGAGGTCTGGACACAGGCATTGAGCACACCTGCCAGCCAGGAGGCGCCCACCAAGAGCATGCATACCTGGCGTCTCATGAGCATAGGATACTGCAGGGGGTAGCACACGGCAATATAACGGTCATAGGACATGAGGGCCAGCAGGACGCCCTCAGCCACACCCATCATTGTCAAGAAGAATATCTGAGCTGCACAGCCCTCGAAGGAGATGGAACCCTCTCCCTGCAGGAAGTCAGCCGCGATGTTGGGGATGGTGACCAGTGGGAAGCCAACATCAAACAGAGAGAGTTGGCTGAGCAGAAAGTACATGGGTGTGTGCAGGTGGGAGTCCATGCGGATGAGGAAGAGCAAGATGGTGTTGCCCAGAAGGCCCATGATGAACATGACAGCCACCAGGGAGAAAAGGAGCTGACGAGGCCTGAGTGACTGAAAAGCCCCACCAGAATGAAGTCTGAGGCCACTGATTGGTTCACATCCCCCATGCTTCATGCAGCATACTTTAACTGCAGGAAAAACAGGAGGTCTTTGGCAAAGAGACCTTTGGGAGACGATGGCAAATAGTTTCATCCCACATGCCAACTGCCATCAATTGGGAGTGGCTGTCTGGTTTGCTGTCTTGAGAAGAGTCATCAGGCCACAACTAGAATCAGGAGTAAAAAAGCTATCATCGATTAATAATGTCTGTCAAAAGGATAGTATGGGAGAGCAGCAACATGCGTCCTTGAATGGGACACTTGGCACAACTCAGTCAAGAGCTAACTACTGACACTTGCAGTCAAAATTTCGAGGTACAGGAGAAATTGCAACCCTCATCCATTGCTGGTGGAAATGTAAAATGGTGCAGTCACTGTGGAAAACAGTTTAATGGCTCCTCAAAAAGTTGAATATAGAACTACCATATGACCCAGCAATCCTAATACAAGAAGAAGTGAAGGCAGGAGCTCAAACAGAAATCTGTACACCAGTGTTCATTGTAGCGCTATTCACAATAGCCAAAAGGTAGAAACAACTGAAATGTCCATCAACAGAGAAATGGATAAACACAGTGTGATATATATCTATATATATATACACAGTCGAATACTACTCAGCCATAGAGAGAAAGGAAGTCCTGACGCAGGCCACAGCATGGATGAACCTTGAAAACATCATGCGGAGTGAAATGAGCCAGACACAAAAGGACAAATACTATCCTCTCACTTAGATGAAGTAAGCAAATACAGAGAAACCCAAGATTACTCGTGACTACCAGGGGTGGGAGGGAGGGGGAAAGGGGAAGTTTTTGCTTAGAGGACATTGAGTTTATGTTAATAGTGGTGGAATGATTTGGAAAAGGGTAGTGAGAATGGTTGTACAACTTGAAGAATGTACTCGATATCACTGAATTGTGCATGTAGAATTTTTTGAGATGGCGTATGTTTTGCTGTGTATATTATCACCACAACAAAAAGAAAAAGAGAGGACACCCAGGAGTCAGATTAAAATGGACTTGGATCCCAGCCTAGCCACCTTGTAGCAATGTGACCTTGGGAAGTTCTTCTACATCAGTTTTCTCATGCATAAGATGGCTGACAATGATCTGTGTTACAAGCATTGCTGTGAAGATGAATTGAAAGGAAGACTGTAAAAGTTTAGTGCCCATCACGCGGCACGTGCTCAATAAATTTTAAATATGACTACTTCTCTAGAAACCCAAACAAACAAACCCATTGCCGTCAGGTCGATTCCGACTCATAGTCGAACTTGTCAACCTTTTGGTTAGCCGCCGAATGCTTAACCACTGCACCACCAGGCCTCAAACTTCTCTAGAGGGAAAAAGTATTAAAGATCGCTGGCTGGTGAATGCAATCTCTTCCTTCTATATAGTTTTAAGCACCATTTCCCCTGCCTGGTTTGTTCTTCCATCTTGTGCAGCAACTGAACTCCAGCTAATACTTTGAGACTTGTCTTAAAGGGACGGCTTCCTTATGAAACTTTCCCTCATCTCTGAAAACTCAGTTGCTCATTCTTTTGTACTCCTATAATACTTTGTATAAGGTCCCTCGATGGGGTAAACATTTTGCGCTTGACTATTAGCCTAAAGGTTAGCAGTTCAAACCCACTCAACGGCACCACAGAAGAATGGCCTGGTGATCTGTTTCCATATAGATCACAGCCAAGAAAACCTCATGGATCCATGAAGCCATCATTAAACTAAACAGCAGTTTAGCCCAATTAATAATGTTTGCCTTGAGCATGGAGCTGTTATAAAGAATTATCTATATGAGTGTAAACTGACAACAGTTAATCTAAAACACAGATGAGAACTTTGAGGGGTAGAGAGTTTAAATTAATAGCGATGAAAAAATATGCATAGAGATAGTGAGAAGAGTGACACACTGTGAAGTATATGACCGATGTCATTGAACTGTACGTGTAGAAATTGTGAATGGATGAATGTTTGGTTGTGCATATTGCCAACAAAAATAATTTTTTTAATTAAAAAAAAAAAAAAACCTATGGAGCAGTTCTACTCTGTCACGCATGGGGTTGCCATGAATTGAAATCTACTCAACAGAAACGAGTTTGCTTTTTTGTTGTTTGTTTGTTTAATACTTTGTTTAAACTTCTTCTAGCCCTTCTTGTAAACACATAAACCCTTTTCATTATCTGTGTCTTGATATAGCTCTGATACTTGACTTTGAACTCCTCAAGATCAGGACCGGGTTGTATCTATTTTCTTTTGTATTTTCTTGCACAGTCATGAACTCAAGCAGGGGCTCAATAAATCTTGGTTAAAAAAAAAAGAAAAAGAGATCACTGGCTGGATGACCTGTGCTTAGCACAATGCCAGGCATGTAAGACATTCTCAGCAAATGCTGGCTTATTGCTATTATTCATCAACATTATGGCCCCTTTGACAGTCAAGCCTGACCCTTTTCATCTCACCCTTCCTGATGCTGCTCAGTGACACTGGCTACCTTGTCCTTACTGGGTAGAAACCCATCTTACCCTACTCCGGCCTCTGAGATCCATTAGCAGGGTCTTTGAAGTCCATTCATTTCCTCCCCTAGCCCCATTGGCTTAGATCAGGCTTCTCAGCCTTGACACTATTGACATCTGGAGATGGATAATTTTTTTGTTAAAAAACCAGTTGCCATTAAGTAAATTCCAACTCATGGCAACCCCATGTGTATCAGAGTAGACCTGTGCTCCATAGGGTTTTTAGTGGCTGATTTTCAGAAGTGAATTGCCAAGACTTTCTTCCAAGGCGCCTCTGGGTGGGCTCAAACCTCAAACTTTTTGGTTAGCAGCCAAGCACATTAACCATTTGCAGCACCCAGATGGCTCAAACGGCTTGCAGTTGGCTGCTAACCAAAAGGTTGACAGTTGACATTCACCCAGCCGCTCCACAGAAAAAAGGCCCAGTGAACTGCTTCTGTAAAGATTACAGCCAAGAAAACCTTATGGAGCAGTTCTACTCTGTCACACCTGGGGGTGCCATGAGTTGCAATCAACTCGATGGCAAAGGGTTTGGTTTTTTGGTTTACTTCTTTGTGGTGGGGGACTATCCTGTGCGTTGTAGGATGTTCAGTAACATCCTGGTGTCTCTCCTCTAGAAGTCAGTATCGCCTCACAATCACGACAGTGAAAATTGGCACCAGACATTGCCAAATATCCCCTCGGGTGGGGCAAAATTGCCCCTAGTTGAGAACCACTGGCTTAGAGTTTCAGTGAAGATGAGCTTACGATGATCTGGAGATAGTTCACCTGGCAGTTCCTCTTCCAGATATTTATTTTAAAATTGCATTACATTCAGACTTAACCTAAATCCTGGGAATAACTCGTGATTTCCGTACCAACCAAAAGGTTGGCAGTTCAAACCCACCCAGCAGTGCCCACAGAAGAAAGGCCTGGCAATCTGCTTCCACAAAGATCATAGCCATGAAAACCCTATGAAGCAGTTTTACTCTCTAACACACGGGGTCGCTATGTGTCAGAATCAACTTGACCGCAACAGGTTTATATAGGCAAAAAAAAGAAAATTAATGCTTAAAACTTGTTGCCAACTTATAGCCAAACTGTCCCTCCAGTCATCCAGTGTCCCAGCTGATAAAATAGCGTTTACTGCAGACCCCTGCCAAGGGTTATGTAAGTATCCAAATGAACCTGGTCCTGCTGTGTCCACACATGTTATTGCTGTTGCTGTTCAGTGCTGTCAAGTCCATTCCAACTCACAGCAACCCCATGTGACAGAGTAGAACTGCCCAATAGGGTTTTTTAGGCTGTAATCTTTATGCGAGCAGATCATCCGATCTTTCTCCTGTGGAGCCACTGGGTGGGTTCGAACCGCTAACCTTTTGGTTAGCAGCTGAGCAGCTAACCACTGTGCCACCAGGGCTCCTCTCCATTCATATAGCCCCACCCAGTGGTGGGCTCACTGTGAAGCAGGCATTGGGCTAAGTGTTTTACAGGCTCAATTCTTTTCACCCTCAAAACAACACAGCCCACAGGTATTACGATTTATCTGTATTTTTTAGATGAAAAAACAGAGACTCAGAGACGCATAGTGACTTCTTCAGCATCATCCAGCAAGGAAGTAATAGAGAAAAGATTTGAATAAATTATTGACCTGATTCCAAAGCCCGTATTTTTCCCTCCACATTCCACGCCTCTCTCCCCTAACATTGTAATAGAGCTTTCAGGAATTACTTCACACACACACACATACACACACACACACACACACATGCAATCTCTGACTCCCCTTCACCAGGAAGTTATGATTTTTTTGGCTAATGGGTGATTGTGTCCAGTCTGGCCATGAGCCACACCCACCATCCCACAGGGCCCATGGTCCACTCCGGAATGGTTCTTGGGCTGATGTTTGTCCTGGCATCAGGCACCATGACGCTTTTGGCAGGTGGGGAAGGCATCTGAGCCAACAGCTCCCTAGGATCTGCCTTGGGTCTCTGGAACTCTCTCAGGGAGAGGTCACGCAGGTTGACTTTTGGGTGTGGGATACAACATGATGGTCGCACCACTGGTACCTCTAATCCTGCTGCTTTCCAGGACCCTCATCTGGTGTCTCTCTCTCTCTGTCTGTCTTAAACACACACACTCAACACTGTGTGCCCCCAACTTACCTTTCCTTCCAGGGTTCCCAGGTGTTCCCATTGCTATTGACACATCTAAAAAGCCTGGTTCTGGAATCTTCAGGCAGCAGTTCCTCTAATCCAGTTGTGATTCCCTCATGTCCTGCTTTGTCCTGAACTTTCGAGACACTCTTCCCCTAGAACCTCTTTTGGAAAAAACTATTTCCACACACCCATCCACCACCACCACCATTCAGGCAAGCCAGGCTGGGCAGATCCAGGTCATGATTCATTCTTATGTGCGTTGAGTCATCTCACGGTGACTCTTAAGTCAATTCTTTGCCTTTGGTGTGAGCCCCTTTGACAAGTTTCTAAGTCGTTTTACTTCTTCCCTTCCTCCATTTTCC